TGCCCCTTCCCCGCTCACAATCTCTCTCCCTCTCTCTCTCTCAAAAATAAGCATTAAAAAAAATTTTTTTTAATGTTGAGTAATAAAAGCAAATTACAAAATGAAGCCCACAGTATGACACTACTTGTATTTTTAAAATTAAAAAAAGCAATTTATATCATTTATAATGTACAGATATACCACAGAAATACAAATACATGGGCATGAATGATGTACAACAATTTCAAAAGAATGTTTGCCTCTGGGAGGGAAGAAGGGAGGAAGGTAAATGGGGCCAGAAAAGAGAACAAAAGGGATCTGAGGATTAAATCTGGGATGTTTTATTTATTTCAAAGAAAAAACTGAAGCCGAGGTGCCCAAATGTTAATGTTTGTTAATCCAGTTAATAGGGCATAGGTATTCATTATACTACCCAGTGTGATTGTCTGTTTATGAAATTTTTGAAATAATTCTTAATTTTTAACCAGGTAGCTGGTGGCTCAGTGCATATGAATCGAACTCAGAGACCAGAGATTAGTGACCAATAGGGGACTCTCTGGGTAAGGGATGATGCGGGTCTGGACTCCTGCCTTACCTGTGAAAATGGAAAGGGGTGGAGAGAAAAGGTGTTAGAGAAGACTCAGGTTTCCTGCTTGTTTGACTGAGCTGACTTGTACTACCCTAACAAGGTAACTAGTTAAGTTTAATTGCTGCTGTTTTGGATATTGCACAAATAACCTGTAAAACTTGGACCAACTCTAACACCTAGAATACAGGGCAAGTGGTAGCCGAAGCTGGTTCTATTAGAAACATTGTGCTTCAATCCCCCATGGAAGCTTAAATGTTCATGAGACACTGGGGTCCATATAGGACATGGCTTTAAAGTAAGGAGATAAATATCCCCAAGTTCTTATAGGAATGAGGTTCATCACAGGATGCCTGGGTGGCTTGGTCAGTTAAGCATCTGACTTTGGCTCAGGTCATGATCTCAGGGTTCGTAGGTTCTAGCCCTGGTTTGGGCTCTGTGCTAATGGCTCGGAGTCTGGAGCCTGCTTGGGATTCTGTGTCTCCCTCTCTCTCTGCCCTTCCCCCACTCGCACTCTGTCTCTCTCGCTCTCTCAAAAATAAAGATTAAAAAAAATTTTTAAAAATAAGAATGAGGTTCATCATTTTATAACCAATCTATACATTTTCGCACTAAGCTTGGGAAGGAAAGGCTGGATATAGCATATAGAGTGCTGTTATGGGAAAGGAGTGAACATCTAGTCATTTTATATTGTTAAATTCAGCGTGGGACTAATGCTTGTAATAAAATATGTATTATAAATATGCAAAATGATTAAAACCATGGTGTTTTTGATTAATGTCCAGGACTTTTTCAAACCTGGAGAATGGATGGTTTAGCCAACCTGGTTTCCAAAGTCCATTTACCTAAGTCTATGGCATTTAAAGCAGGTAGACTAGAATCAGAATAAAATAATGTCTCTATTTGAACACCCTGTTTAGTAGCTGACCAGCAGAACAGTTATGAGGCCAATTTCCCCCCTCTGTGCTCATGTTGTGAGGTCCTTCTTTGGAAAGAGATTGCCCAAAACTTTTAGAGGTACATAGAGTGCAGTCCTCATTCATTTACCATTGGTTCTTCATACCCTTTCATGCAGCTCTCAGAGAAAACAGAGAGGCATACGTTAAGGTGCCTGACCCCTGCATGTACAGCCTTATAGATTAAAAATACACTGTTCACCACCGCTGTCAACCATGTGTGAGAATAATAATGGCCATTACAAGATGACTTACAGTTCAATACAAATGTGGATTCCATAGAGGGTAACTTGGCCCTAGTGCTGCTGGTGGTGGGAGATAGGTAGTTCACCCATTCCTGGACTGTCACTGGCTCAAGCCCTTGAAGGCAGAAAACAGGGATTACAGGGGTGAATGGCCCTTCTTCGAGGATTCCTTTTCCCTTTCCTTTATAGCCTTCCAAACCTTCAACTATAATGCGGGGGGGTGGGGGGGGAATCATTTATTTTTCTACATTAAACATTCCACTATGGCTTTAATTTTAATATATTAGGATAATGCTCTCACCTTTGTAATTAAGTAGAACGCAAGTCTGGGAAAAATCAATCGTGGAGCTACCTAAATGCCATCCATATGACATCATCTCAACGCACTGAGATAAAAAGGGGATCGATGGATCCAGATCTCGTCCTCCCACCTCCTTTCCTGGGTGGTGTTTGGACTTGAAGGTACCATAGCGACTATTAGCTGCATCACCATGGGCTCTCCGGACAGCAGCACCCCAGTGCTGGAGCGTCAATAACCCAGGAACCAGGGCTCTAGCGTCTCTCCCCAGCCCTGTAGCTGGTTCAAACTGGCGCAGGAAAACCTCGCCCCCAGGTCTCATTTGAAGAATGTTCGCTCAGCTACCTCCCAGACTGGAAAGATGAAGGTCTCGATCACAAGGTATTGGAATCAGGCACTGACATTTCACTTTCTTAGGAGCATGAAAATTAAACCATTCCTTCTTTCCTAATTAATTTCCCAATTAAGTATTTATTAGCCACCGGGCCTCGGGTCCAGATCTACGCTAAGGGTAAGGGTGCTCTGAGAGTCCACGCACAGCCACCCACCCACGCTTTCTTCCACACTCCTCAGCCCCAGCCTCCGCCATTCTCCCTTCTCAGCCGCCCCCACTTTTCCCACCTCCCCCTCACCTGGCTCTCCTTCTCCCAGGTCCCCTACTCACACCTCACTGTCCGGCCAGTTCCAGCCCACAGGGGCTTTGATCTACTTACGACGAATCACAAGTGGGTTTTCATCCGGGCGATTCCAGATCCGCTAATCAGCGCCACTCTTTCAACGCCCAGTTTCCTTCTTATTTGCTTACGTCCACAGGGCCTCCAGGCAACGCGGAGCGGGGTGGGTGGGCACGTCGCTCTTCTTTACGCCCTCCGATTGGTCGGTGCTTTTGGTCGAGGCTCAAGTTAGATTGGGTCGAGGCAGTCCTGACTCCGCCCCCGTCCCATCCCGTTGTCAATCATACTATCCTTTAGGTAACCCACAGGACCATTGGTCAGTCCTGCCTGGGGGCGGGTTGTCAGGCGAGGGAGAGCTGCTTCTCTCGGCCTCGCTGTTACCATGGAGACCGTACAGCCAGGTTGCGTAGCGCAGGAAGGCGACCCCTTCCCCTCATCGGAAAGTCCGGAGATTTGTACAGCAATCTATACGTTAATGTCTGTTTCGGATTCTGATAGACATCTCAGCCCCCGACACAGTGGTTCGGGTGGGGCTCGGGACTCTGGGGGCAAGTCAGATTAGGCCTCGGAGAGGTGGGGTGAGGCCCAGTCATTAAGGGTCCCTAAACCCCACCCCCACCCCGCGAAGGGAACAGAGGCCGAAGCACAAGTTGTGACAGCATCATGTTTTCATTTGTCCTTACCTCGCCCTATTTTATTTGGGGTTATTCTTCCGTCAGCCCTAGGAAGTAGACTATGGCAAGGGTCATTTTTCTCATGGGGCAGACTGAGGAAGCAAGGTCGGGGTCATAAAGTAAATCTGTAGCCACACCTCCAGGCAGCTGGAACTGCACTTACCTAACTGCAGACTAAAACTTGCCGTGATTTTGCTCCAAAGCTATGTATGGCTGTTAGACCAAAACATCCATAAATCAGGCCAACCAAAGGAAATAGGACAGAGGACGCATGCTCCACTGCTGAATCAGGAAGCGAAAACAGACAACAATCAAAACAAACAATACCAAATTTGAGAACTACAGTATCTGAACCTTTGACCTGAGACAAAGTTCTGAAACATCGTGAAGCAAACCATTCTTGGAACACTGAATCTGTGATTTAGGGAATTTAGCTCCCAGGTCATAGCTTTATGAGTAAAATGGAAGAAGATGGTTGAATTCCACTGAATGTAAGTCTCAAATTTACTCTACTTTCAAGGTTTCGTTTGCAGTTGTATGTCTTAACCAACTACTTCTTATGTGTTTAACAACATCACCACTGGCCCAATGAGAAGCTTTGAGGTGAAGAAAGCCATTGTTTTAATTAATTCATTCCATTGGAATTGAGTGTTAACTGTAGCTAGGCACTGGTAGGGACTCTGAGGGTGCAAAAAATTCCATGTGATTCCTGCCTTCCTTAACAGGCTGTTGTGTTGTTACCACCAACAGCATATGAAACACTTAGGAAACACTTTTAGAGAAAATATAACGTGCTAAACTTAAATGCTCCCCAAGATAATAATAATACTTCATATTTGCAGAGCATTTTGTAGTTTTCAGAGCACATCTTGTATTATTTGGGGGAAATATTGTTTTGGCTGGAGTTAATGGGGGTCTTCATGATATAGCTAGAACTAATGCTGGGTCCTGGCATATGGGTAGGAATAGAAAAGGTGGAACAGAGATGGAAGGGAATCCAGGGAGAGAAAACAGTCTGAACAAAGAGTTGGAGATGAGGAGGACTGAGTATCTGGGGAACAATTTGGAGACTGGTGTAAGCTAGAGTGGAGGCAAATAATGGAAAAAACACTGTTTATTTTATTTTTTAATGTGAAATTTATTGTCAAATTGGTTTCCATACAACACCCAGTGCTCATCCCAACAGGTGCCCTCCTCAATGCCCATCACCCACCCTCCCCTCCCTCCCACCCCCCAAAAGAACACTGTTTAGACCAGCTGGTCAGGACCAGTTCTTCGTATTTTGGGGGAGAGAGTGTTTAAAAGTTTGAGATTGGGAAAGTTGACCTTCTTCTATGTCTCTTGATCAGGCTGACTTAATTATAAATTAAGAATAAGGCATGACTGAGAAGGCCCTCCAGAGCTCTTACATCTTCCTGAATGGATATAACATTTTCGGTTTTCTCTCCCATCGAGGGACCTGCCCTGCAAGCCCCATCCCTATTTCACCCCCTAACTGGGACAAGGTATGAGTTTTCTGATTAAATAATGATAATCTACCTCTCATTGATATTGGATAGCACTCCATCTTTTGCCATCTCTTAATCAAAGTTCACTCTAGAGAAGATTGATTACTTGACTATCCAATCTTTCTCTTTTCACAAATTGTCTCCTGTGTCAAGTGTTACACAGTGCCTCTCCACGTGGCTCCAAATCTCTGCTGTGTATGTATTGCTAATACTGTGCTTATACATAGGTGATATATGCCTATCATTTAATTACAATTTTCTTTCCTCCTAAACAAAGCAAAAAGCTCGAGCAATAACAATGAAAACCAGTGTCTTATTTTCCTCTTTTTTAAACGTGTAAAATCATTTGTTATGCTATCTGATAGAGGTAGGGTAGCAAAAAGAGGTCATCAGGATGTGGTGTGCAAGGAGTGATTTCAGGAGAAGACATAGAGTTGTCTGGTTCATTTTATAGTCATTTTTTTTTCTGCCAGAGAGTCCTGAATTTTTTATGTACATTTTCTGATGTGTGATTATGTGAGCATTTCTGTAGGTCTGAAAATGTACCCAAAACTTAAGTAATTGTTGGCTATTAGCTGAGACGCAAAAGCGACTATTGTTCTATCCTGCTAATTAGGCAACTGGGTAAACAAAAATTTCTCCCCGTACTATTGTCTGTTGTTGAACGCAAGTTACTGGCTTTTCAAGCTCATCCAGAATCATCACCATGGTTTTCCAGCTCATAATATTTACCTGATGCTGTAGACCAGGGGTCAGCAAACTGTGATCTGGGGGTCCAATCTGACCTGCCATCTATTTTGTGTAAGACCTGCAAGCTAGGAATGAATTTTATGTTTTTAAATGGTTGGGGGGAAAAAAAAGAGAAAGGTGTGAAAATGATATGAAATTCAAGTCTCAGTGTCTGTAAGTAAGGTTGTATTGGAACACGGGCATGTTTGCACAGTATCTATGGTGGCTTTCACTTCACAACAGCAGAGCTGAGTAATTAATACAGAGACTGTATGGCCCGTAAACCTAAAATACTTATTGCTGAGCCCTTAGGAAAATGTTTTGAGCCTTACTGTCTTAGAAGTCTCTAATGAATCAAGTCCCATGGAATGTTGGAACTGAAACAGACTTTGGAAATCATGTTAATAAAAAGCAAAACAAAACAAAAACAACACTGATAGAGATAAGTTATTCCTTGGCCTAAAATCGTACAGTCAGTGAACAGAGCTAGTACTAGAATCCTGGTTCCATTGGCCCAAGGTTTCTTTCATCCATGCTGAGTCTTTTCCCATGTAGAGCTTATCTTTCTTAGGATGGAATAGGTGTTGTATACTCTGGAGGCAAGGTGAATTCATCACATCTTTCCAAATTTTGATTTCATGTCTCATCTGGACAAATACAGTGCACTATGATCAATTTATGGATACTTGGACTTTCATTATTTCTGCCAATATGATGGTGTCTTCTCTTTTTCATTTTTTCTCATTTCTCAAAAGATGTATTACCGTCATGAAAAACTTTCTCACTTCCATGCTCTTTTTCTCTTTTAAAAAATCTCTTTCTGCTTCAACAAAGGAATTCAGAGGTGGCTGAGTTTCTACCCCAGTCTAAGTTTCTTCAGGGAGATGAGGATGGTTAAGAAGCCGTAGGACACAGTTATTACTCTGAAGTATGTGGATGGACCGCATGTGTGGAAAGGGAAGGGGGGTGTCCACAGTCCCCCGGAATGGCAACAGTTAGTGTGTATGTGCATATGTAGGCTTTCCTGGGGGGAGTATCCATATCTTAAGATTTTTAAGAGCCCGTGACCCCAAGAAGAATTACAGATCTATAAAAAGAGACATGTTTGGGGCATTGGGGCAGAAAGCTACTCAGACGTGTGACAGGGGAGACTGATCTGGGCTCTAATGTCTGTGAGA